GAGCGCACCTGAGTGGCGTCACAGATGGTGTTGGCGCACCTGGTGGCGTCACAGATGGTGTTGAAGCTCATGAAGTGCGAGTTGACGTTGGTGGCGCCGAACTTGCTCATCATCGTGCGCTCCAACAGCTTGCCTGCTCGCCCACGCCACACCCCATGGGCCACAACCACAGGCGCGTCAGAAGCACGTGGAGGGGGAGGGCAGCACAGCAGCAGAGAGAGGAATGATGGGTATGGGAGTTGCCTGGGGTTGAATTGCAGCTCACACGGCGGGGGTGGGGAGAGGGGGAGGTGGAGCACGTGGGGTGCATGATGTGAGCAGCACGAGAGGGGTGCGCGAGAGAGGGCAGTAAGACGAGATGGCGAGGGTTGGGAGGGAGCCATGTGAGGCATGGGGGGTGAGGGGGGGAGGGCGGTGACCGATCATCTCGGTCTCGCCCTTGAGCATGGTGGTCTGGTTGGCAATGCCCAGGCGATCCAGGTCCGTGTCCGGGTCAAATCCCTTCGACACCGCCTTGGCAAACTTCTGTGATCCCACGTGCACGCGCACGTGGGGGGACGAGGGGGGGGGGAGGGGGGGGGGGCGGGGGAGAGCGGGTGTTGGAGATGGCGAGAGAAGGGAGAGAGGGGATGACGGCATGGCATGGCATGATGAAGAGGGGAGGCAGAGGCGACAGCAGGAACATGAAGGATTGGCACATGCAGCAGGGATGGCAGCCAGGAGCAACTCGCCTGGAGGAACTCTTCCCGAGTGCCGCTGGAGCCGTCCAGCTTGCCGCCCAGGATGTAGTCGCACACGTAGTGCGCCTGCACAGGCGCGCGCGGGCACGGTGAGGAAAGGGGGAGGGGGTGGGAGGAGGGATGCGGAGGGGAGTGACGGGTGAGCGGGCAGGCAGAAGCAGGATGGCATGCGTGCGTGTCATGTCAGGGTGTGCAGAAGGCTCGAAACAGACGTGCAGTGCATCGGCGAGTGGTGGAGAAGTGCTGAGAGGTGGCGGTGAGTGGTGAGAGCAGGGGGGTGCCTGGACAGGAGTACACACACGTGTGGAGTGCGGCATGTGTTGCCCCTACGCCCAACCGTATCCATTCCTCCGCCTCATTCCCGCCCTCACCCCTGCCCGCCCACACCCCCTGCCCCTACCAGCCCACACCTCCTTCATGCCCCCACCCCCCTGCGCGCGCTTACCTCCTTCATGTCCTTGACGACGATGTAGGTGCCGGCGTACGAGGCGGTGGCGACCGTCTCCTCGTGCGCGTACTTGCCGTGAATCACCGACGTGAACTGCCCGCGCTTGTGCTTGTCCACCGTGTCCCACACCTGCCCACCGCACATGCAACACGTGGGGACATGCGAGAGGGGGCACGGGAGGACGAGGGAGGTTGGGAAGAGGAGGGGGCATGGGAGGAGGAAGGGAATTCGGGGCAAGTAGGCTGACAGGGGGTAAGAGGCGCAGGTGGGAGAGGTAAGCATCACAGGTAGGGGGGGGGGAGGGGAAGTGGGGGGAGGGGGGGGAGGAAGGCGTAGGGTAAGGAGGGATACCTTGGAGACCCAGGGGCAGGTGGTATCGACCATCTGCACGTTGCGGTCGTGGAACATGGTGACCTCCTGCAGCGACGCGCCGAACGCCGGCAGCACCACCACGTTGTCGTCGCCACCACGCTGAAGTCCTTGCTGCCGTCTCCGCGCGTCCTCGATGAAACTCATCCCCATGCTCTCCATTTTCTGCCACCCGCACACCGCACACCACACACCGCATGACACGCGCACCGCATAACACATTCAATCGACGGTCGCGGCGCGGCGAACGGAACAGAAACATGATTGCGGGAATGGAGGGCGAGCACGCATGACACGTGGCGTCTGGCGGTGAGATTCCCGGGGAGAAGGGACGGAGGGGAAGGCGGATGGCACGCACGTCGTTGACGGTGGGGTTGTTGGATGATCTCATTGGTCACCCAGATCTTCTGGTCGGGGAACTGCTTGCGCGCCTCGTACGCCATCTGCACGGCGCGCTCCACGCCCCAGCAGAAGCCGAGCGACTCGGCGAGCATCACGGTGACGTCGCCCCACGTGTACTCGTTGTTGTTCTCGCGCAGAGTCTTCACCACGTCGCCTGCACGCAGGGCGGGACGGTCGTATGAGGAGACACACGCTCACGACCAGGAGGAGCTCCCCGCGCTGCTCGGAGGGCTCAACGACATCAGAATTCGCGGAGGACCCAACACACCAAAACTTCTATTTTTCACGAAAAACGAAAGGCATTTTCTGAATAATAGCGCGAAAAAAAATGTAAATTCCCTCAATTCTAATGAGAATTGCGTGCAAGGCGGCAGCTTGCAGCGGGCATTGGGCTCACTCGTGTATTCCTGCTCCATCCGCTCCAGCATCTCCTTCTTGTACCCGAACCCGCTGCGATTGTAGTTGTCGCTCTTATTCAACGCTCGGCGGAACGCGCGGCCATCGACGGCCGCCTCGCTCTCCTCGCCATGGCACCTGATTCCTGCTGGTAGGCGCTTCGCTCCAGCAGCACGGCTCGGCCTGGAAACAGGGCCTGCCGCAAAGCTTGATCGAGAAGAATAAGACGATGCAAGCACTGCCGATTGCACGGGAGCAGCAGCCATGGCGACACGAGCAGTGGCAGCGGACACAGCAGCCATGATTCAAGCACAGGTTCAAAGGTGGAGGAGAAGAGGAGGGAGGAGCCTTGAGAAGAGGGTGGACAGAGTGGGGTTGTCTCGCACAACCACAGCCACAACCGCAGTTTCCAAGGCAGGATTCGCACATCTCTGTTGCGACCTCAGTTACCTCAGGCGAACGATTTGCGAAGTCACTTCTCTGGCAAGAAGGTGGGTACCTTATCATTTCGAAAAGGAATCGCTTTCGCGAATTGTGACTGGCCATTTCAGCCAAGAATGTGGAAGTTGGAAAACGGCCAGCCAATCGCAGACTTGCTTAGGTGTTTCGGGAGCATGAATGTGGTCGCCCAAAACACTACAATAGAAATCCTCTCAATACGAGATAGAAAATTCATATTGTTCACCCTTGTTGAAGATTCAGGTTCGATGTACATTATTCTAAGAAATGCTGGAAAATCAGTGTAGGTACTCTATTATTTGTGATAATTTCAGCTTAGCCCACAGAAATATATAAAAAGATTGTGAATCAGCTTATATTCTGGAATATGAATTGAATTAACATGTGGGGTGTTATGGCAATATATAAGGAATAGGCCTACAATAACAATACAGTGCGTTGTGCACCATCGCATCACAACGGCCACAGCATGGAGCGGTCACCGTTCAAACGGTGCTTTGGGCAGGCCGACTTGGTTTGGCGCCTAGTACACTCCAGCCATTCGCGAAGAAGGTCGAACGTGGCCGGAATGGCTCGCCATTTCAATTCGCACAAATCGCTGCGACTCGATGCGAATGGGTGCGCAATTCGTGCTGCGGTGCATTGTGCCAGCTAGCGAGGGGTGGTGGGAGTAGAAAAGGGGGCGGAGAGAATTCCACAATGTGTGTTGCTCTGCAGAACCATCGCATTGCGACGAGGAATTACTTGTGCGACGAACGACCAACTTGCGACCTGACTACTTGCTCTCTGTGCGCTACCTACGACTACCGGAACTTCACGAGGGACGAGAAATTCAGGCTTTGGCTTCAGGCAGAACCACGCGAATCAAATTTCACCGGCCTCTCTGAGTCAACGCTGTTGACACCGACCACCCCCCACCCACCCACGTTCCCTTCCTTTCTGCTTCGTCCTTTGCTCAATTTCGCGCTTTTCTGTCTCCCTGTCGTGCAGTCCGTCTTTCGTTTGCTTTGCCTTGTTTGTTGTGGTATCCCTTGCCGTCCCTTGCCTGTCTTTCCCTTGTCTACGCAATCCCCCCCCAGTCCTTCCCCAAGCGCGTCATGGAGAAGTTCACGATGACCATCGACACGCCGCCAAGGGCCGTCCGCAGCACCATCGCGAGCGGCTCCAGCCATCAGAAGCGACACGCCGCCGGCACTCCCAATGCGGACCGCAGCACGCCCGCGTCCGTGAAGAGGTCGCTCAAGCTCTCCACCCCGCGCCGCACTCCCTCCCAGGTATTGCCGAACACCCAGCGAGCCGTTGGGCTTGACCCGTAGGCGTCAGCTTCCAGCCAAGCGCCGATCGTCCCAGCGAATGCACTCAGATTCGTATCCGCGCCTCGCTTGCGCCAGATGCGCTTCCTTCCTGCTTCGCGTCGTAAGATGCTCGTGAGCGCGAATTGCGGCTGACGGTGCTCGGGTTGCCCGTGGCAGGCGGACCGCTTCATCCCCAACCGCGGCGCCATGGACCTCGACATGGCTCGCTTCAACATGGCGCGTGACGTCACCACCAGCAGCGGCGCCAGGGAGAACGGCGCGTCGCACGAAGTCACCTCGCCCAACGCGGTAAGTCTCGCCGCGCAGACTCGTCGTACTGCCATTCGCCGCCCGCATTCCTCGTCGCGTATACCTTCTTCCCTTTTCCCGCCACCCCTCCCTCCATCGACTCCCTCCGCATCCGCCCTCATTCCCTTTTCCCCCTCCCCGGCCGTCCCTGTCTCCATTCCCCCCTTGCTCTCCTCCCCTCCAGGCGCAGTACCGGAAGCAGCTGGCGGAGAATCTCCTCCGCGACAGCCCTTCCGCCAACACCACCCCCTGCGCCCGCCCCCGCGGCGCCAAGATCCTCTCCTTCAAGCCCGCGGGCTCCCCTTCCCCCGACTCCTCCGACTTCCCCGCCCGCGGGGCGCTCTTCTCCCCCGCCGCTTCCGCCAGCGCGAGCTGCGGGAAGCGCAAGGCGTTCCGGTACGTGGCGCAGGCGGCGGAGCGCATTCTGGACGCGCCGGAGCTGGTGGACGACTACTACCTCAACCTGCTCGACTGGAGCTCCTCCAACGTCGTCGCGCTCGCGCTCGGCGCGTCTGTCTACCTCTGGGACGCCGCCACCGGCGCCATTGAAGAGCTGCTGCACGTGGGCGGCGAGGGCGCGGACGAGGGCGCGGGCAGCGCGGAGTACGTGAGCAGCGTGGCGTGGGCGGCGGACGGGAAGCACCTGGCGGTGGGGCTGAGCTCCGCGGAGGTGCAGGTGTGGGACAGCCAGCGCCTCAAGCAGGTGCGCGCGCTCAAGGGCCACGCGGGGCGCGTCGGCGCCATGGACTGGAACGGCGCGACGCTCTCGACGGGCGGGCGCGACGGCGCGATCCTGAACCACGACGTGCGCATGCGCCACCACGTGACGTCGCGCCTCGCAGGGCACGAGCTGGAGGTGTGCGGCCTCAAGTGGTCGCCGTCCGGCCGCCAGCTGGCGAGCGGCGGAAACGACAACCTGCTCCACATCTGGGACGCCTCCGCCATGGCCTCCGCCTCCGCCGCCTCCGCCTTCTCCGCGTCGTCCGGGTCCTCCGCGCGCCTGGCGAACGGCAACGCGCCGTGGCTGCACCGCCTGGACCTCCACCAGGCCGCCGTGAAGGCGCTCGCGTGGTGCCCCTTCCAAGCCAACCTCCTCGCCTCGGGCGGAGGCTCGGCGGACCGAACCATCAAGTTCTGGAACACCCAGACGGGCGCGTGCGTGCGCAGCGTGGACACGGAATCACAGGTGTGCGCGCTGCAGTGGTCGCAGCACGACAAGGAGCTGCTGTCGTCGCACGGGTACAGCCGCAACCAGCTGTGCCTGTGGCACTACCCCACCATGGGCAAGCTCGCTGAGCTCTCCGGCCACTCCGCGCGCGTGCTGCACCTCGCGCAGAGCCCTGATGGCGCCACCGTCGCCTCCGCTGCCGCGGACGAGACGCTGCGCTTCTGGAAGGCGTTCGGCGGGCCCAAGGGCGAGCAGGCCGGCAAGGCGGGCAGCAGGGCCGGCAGTGGGAGCGGGAGCCTTGAGCGTGGGTTCAGCAGCCGCAGCATGAGCCTCAGGTAAATTGGTTGGGCCCGGTGGCAGCAGCATCAGTTTCAGTGGCAGCATTGGTGGCAGCAGCATCAGTTTCAGTGGCAGCATTGGTGGCAGCAGCATCAGTTTCAGTGGCAGCATCAGTGGCAGCAGCATCAGTTTCAGTGGCAGCATCGGTGGTAGCAGCATCAGTTTCAGTGGCAGCATCGGTGGTAGCATCGGTGGTAGCATCGGTGGCACCATCGGCAGCACTTAGTAGCTAGGAGGTCCGCATGCAAGGCTCTCCCGGCTGCCCGCACTCACATGTTAACACTCCATCGCCAATGCATGCCAGTCTCCTTGACCTGCATTGCTGTGGATCCTAGTTTTGGGGATAGGACGCCTCTCGCTGACCCTCCCCTCGCCTTGATTGTAACATAACATGTACATACCTGACTTGAATGACAGCTGCACATTGCAGAGTGTCTGTGTACCCGTGCTGTAAACTGGCTGCCTGAGAGACAGGAGGAATGTATGCAAAGTGGATGGGGCGAGCAGAGGTCGTGCAGCGATGAGTACCGTACACGTCAACGTGGCATGTTCTTGCTGCGCTGCTGCACTCCCATTAGCAGCACTACCGTATCGTATGGTATTCTTCACATGGCTGTTCTTCAACCTTGCTCAGCATCCTTAGCAGCATGTGCTCTCCGGCTGTCTGTTAGTAACAGTGAGTTTAGGAGGTCTCCAGCTGATCCTCCCCTCGCTTTGATTTCAACATAACATGTACATACCGTACCTGATCTGAATGGCAGCTGCATATTCCATGTAAATGTGCACGCACCCACCCCTGTTGGAACCCTGAGAAGCCCTGAAAAGGATTGTCTATCTGAAAGTGCCTTGCCTTGTGTCTGCAGAGCTCCGAGCAATGTATGGTACGGTACCGTACCATAATCTGCTCTGCACTCCCATGTGCAGCGCCGTTCAAGCTCTGACCACAAATTAAGCTGAACTTTTCAAGGTTGTTCCGCATCTGTAGGAGCATGTGCCTCTAGAGGCTGCTAGGAGCAGTGAGATACGGTAAGTCTGGCTTATAAAAAACTGCATTTAACCCATTTGATTGCGTAAGGCATGTGTACAAATCGTATATCATAATTGCTTTTACAAGTGGTTGTATTTGGAGGTGTAGTCGAGCACCCACACGGGCACACAGTAGACGAGCAAGCCGATGAGGAAGGAGGGGAGGATGGTGATGCAGTAGAGGTAGAAGTAGGGGCGCCAGCAGCGGCCGGTCTTGGCCTTGTGCAGCGCCAGCACCTCCACCATGAGCGTTGACACGGTGCTCAGTGACCCCAGGAACCCCAGCTGTATTGCCCCTATCGCCAGCACACTCACCTCGCTGTTGTACTGTGAGAGGGGGGGAGGGACGGAGGGGGCATGGAGAGAGGGAGTGAGGATGGGAGCGGGAGGAGAATGGGGCGGGTGAAGCAGAATGACAATGCTGGGTTGGAAGGAGTGGGGGGCGTGAGTGGTGCCTGAGCTGTCAGAGAGTGCGCTGCTACACGTGTGAGTGCACGTGTGAGAGTGTGTGTGTGGGTGCACGAGTGTGGGACTCACAGCGAGCACGACGGTAGAGAGGGCGGCCTCCAGCGCGGACGCGCTCACGTTGGCAGCCACCGTGCCCACGGGCACCCACTGCCACCACCGCCCCTTGCCCACCGCCCCGCCGTTCAGCCACGACAGGTACCACCGAATCCACGCGCCCGGCGCCGCCACCACGCACGCAAACCACAGGCGCCTTGTCTTGGAGGACCAGTCGTCGAGCGCGGTGCCGATGGCGGCAGCAGTGACGAGGAAGACGGAGAGGCAGAAGAAGAGCAGCAGCGACGCCCACCGCCGGTCAAAGTGGTCCCCGCGTGGAGCACGCAGGGGTGGCTTCCCGCGTGCGGTGCGGCGGTCGTTGGCGCGCTTGATCTGCCACTTGATGCCGTCGGCAAAGTCGATCCCCGCCATGAGCGACACGAAGGGCAGCGCGGCACCGACGATGTAGCCGGCGAGCGCGCGCACCCAGAGGCCGGAGGCGAGGATGGCGAGCATGCGCTGGTTCCACGACGCCAACGTCGTCACGCACCCGCACAGCCCCGTCGCCAGCCCGATCGCCAGGTGCTCCGAATACGCCGCTATGTGCCGCTTCGCCGCCACGCCCACCACTCCCATCATGAAACTGCCCGCCTGCCGTGTGGGAGAGGGGGTTGGGAGGGGAAGGGGAGAAAGGAAACAAGGGGCGCACGTGATGGGGAGAGGGGGGGAGCGCGGAAAGGAGGGAAGACGGGGATGGTGGGTGCGGGGAAGTGGGTGGGAGAGTGAAAGTGTGGGGCGCGGAAAGGGTTTGAAGGTGTTAGGGCGCGACTCACGATGTTAGCGGGCAAGTCGATGAAGACGGTCTGCTCGTCGTCCGTCACGTGCGCCACCTCCGGCCCGAACAGCACCTCCAGCCCGTACCGTATCAGCACCTGCGCTCGCCGCCGCGCGGGAAGGGGGCGAGGGGAGAAGGAGGGGGTGAGACCTACACTGAGGTGAATGCGCGAGGAGCAGCGCGGGGATGATGCGGCAAGAAAGCGAGCAGTTCTGGCGCGGTGCGGCGTGGATGGGATGACGAAAGCGAGCGCGGTGCGGCGGACGTACCCCGATGATGGCGAAGGTGGCGAGGTGCACGAGCACGGACACGTGCGTTAGCCACGGCTCGAGCCGCTCGTCCTCCTCCGGCACCTGCTCGCGCACGCGCGCCCAGGGGAACGCCATGGTTGGTGGACAAAGGGGGGGACGGGGAGTGAATGGGGGGAAGCGGAGAAAGGCGACGGCACACGGGCAGGACAAGGAGGAGAGTCGAGATATCGCACGCTCGGAGCAAGCGCGCCGAGTTCTCATGCATTCTTGAACAAGGCTACTTCTAAACCCGCGTCGCTGCCACTAGCAGGAGGACCGACGCTAATCACTCGCCTGAATTTCCGGTAACGGCGGGTGAGCGGCAGCTGGCGCCGCGACGACAATGGCGGCGGGAGGTGACACAGCAAAGCCAGAGGCGGGAGGCGCAATGTCCACTGCGGCGGCTTCCGCGGATGAAGAAACCACGGCGAGCTGCTGCGAGCGTGTGGCGGCACTGTCGGACGCCATCGCGCTTAAGAATACAATAGGACTAACTCTATTGAACTACAACACCAGAGGGTAAATCCGCGCTAACTCTAACTCTAACTCTATGTCGCGATTGAATCCGTCACCTAATATCTACACTCGAGGGTATCATCGACCTGACCGATCGATGCGTGCGTTAGCAGCGAGAGCGGTTTCATGACATGAGCTCACCAAAGCACAAGAATGAACAAGCGTAGTTCACGGACGCTCGCGCCATGCGTACACCGTAGGGCCAGGCAAGGCGAGTGAGCGAGTAAGCTAGAGTAGCGACGGATATTGCAGAACAGTGGAGTGCCACGGATGCCAGATGAGCCGGACAGCCATGGCTGCCGGTAGGGCAGGTCGGGTGTAGGTGGAGCAAGCGGCAACCCGCGGCATGCCGCGGAGCAGACAGCCCAGGCGAGGCGGGCGGGGGGCGGGCGCTTGCAGGAGAAGATGGGGTTCGTGTGGATTGCAGGCGCGCAGATGGGGAGGCGGAAGAGGGGGATCGGCAGAGGGAGCGGAAAAAGAAAGAGACGTGGGAAGGCGCGGCTGCGGGGAGGCAGATTTGCTGCGCGCGGAAGGAACAGTTTTGGCTTGTGATGTGAGGTGAAGGGAGGAGGGAGGGGGGAGGGGGATGTGCAGCGGGCGAGGGGGCAACCAGTGCGGGTGATGCTACAGTATCGGATGTGGGGGGGGTGTTGTGGGGGCCTTGCGCTGCCTGTAAGCGCGGGCCAATCAGGTGGCGGTCCAACGAACCCAGCGAAACCCTAGAGGTTGTACCTTCACCTGATGCCCCTCCCTACCGCCACCGCGAAACGAGAGCTGACTCGCATGGAAAATACATAATGACAATGTCACAACAAATTTGACGCATATCGCAATTGCGTGTGCTAAAATGGTATAGGATCTTATCTGCAATCGCAGTATTCAGTATCGCACTAATGCTATGATGTCAGAGTATCAGCTTTCCCGCCACCACCCCATTCGCCAGCACGATGAGATCCCAAGGATACAATGCGACACGGGAGAGATGGACGAAATGCCTTGCCGACATGCTCTTCACGAGAACCCTGATATGCCCTTTCGGCAAGCTCAATGCGGCAATCCCGGAGTTCTGTTGAGAAAGCATCTGGCTGTTGTGTAGTAGTCATGGCGTGTCAGGGAGCTGGGCTAATCATTGATTATGAAATAAACTAGAGGGATAAGTCGTATCCAGTCTTGATGTTTCTCCACGATAAGTTATGTAGCATACGCGAGTCAGACCTTGCAACCTTTGCCAAGTCGATGTGTTCAGCGCCGTAACCCTTCGGCACGGCGCGCGACCAACTCAGCAGGTCCTTATGGCACGGCAACGCTGCAGCTTGACAGTCCTCACCGTTCTCGTGTTCGCGTTGTCTTCTCATTCGGTAACGCGCTCATCCGCGACCGAAAATTACGATGTGCTTTTTTACTCCGCGGGACCCTACACCCCGTGCGGCACGTCGGGTAACTTCTCCGCGGTCGGCGTGCAAGGCGCATTAGAGCCGTACAAGGGAGAGGTGGCATCGCCTAAAGGACAAGCGATATCGGGGCGAGTGACCATTTACGATGACTGCTACTTCGCGCTCTCAGATCTCAGGTGCCTCTCTTCCGCTCCCCGCACCCACCGCTCTTCCTCTCATCGCAACTCCACCTCACCGCAACCAGGGCGCTCCCAACTTCCGCTCTTAATCCCACACTAGCGACCATCGCTCCTCCCTCGACCCTCCACCCATCCCCTTCTCTTAATCCCTTCTCCCCGCCACCCCTCCACTCCCTTCCCCGCGCCCCACGCGCAGCATCAGCGCGGCCGTGGACGCGCCGATATCCATCTGGGCGGGGCCCAAGGACGTCGACCCCTACTCGCACGCCGCGCCCGTCGACCCCTATGCCGCCTCCTCCTTTCCTGCCTCCGCCGCCTCCGCCTTCGCACCGGCCAGCGCCGCATTCAACCTCACGGCGACGTCGCTGATGGCAGTATTTCTGCAGGCGGGCGGACTCACCTGGGACGAGGCGCAGGTGCTCTACCTCTGCGCAGGGTCCGCCTCCGCGGGAATCACGCAGATCTACGCGCAGTTCGCGGTGGGCGGGAGGGAGCACGCGGGCCCGCACGGCAAGACCGTGCGGTGGGTGCGGAAGACGGTGGGGGCGGCCGCGAGGGAGCAGCGCCTGCTCTTGCCGTCGCCCCCCGCTCGCCCGCCCCCTCCGCCCCCCAAGCCACCTGCGCCGGGCAGCAGCGGGCCGTCCGTGGGGCTGACCAACTGCGTGGAGGCGGTGCCGGGGCGGCTGAACATGTGAGTGACGGGAACGGAGGCATGGGTGGGGCGGGGAGGAAGAATGGGCAGGCGGCGGAGAGAGAAAAAGGGGGAGGGGCGAAAGCATGTGCGCGGGTCCCCCCACGGCCCTTTGACTTTTCACTCATCACACCCCCCGTCCGCCCTTCCTACCCTCCCCTTCCCCCCTTGTTTCTGTGTGTGTGCGGTTGTTTCTGTGGTGTCGGATGCGGCAGATACTGGACCGTGCATCACGGCGACGCGGACGCAGGTGCCGCGGGACCGCCGCAAGACGTCTCCTCAGTCACCGGGTCCTCCACCGCGCCCGGCAGCAGCAGCGCTGGCAGCGGCGCCGGCGGCGGCGGCGGGGGAAAGGGGCCGGTGGTGGAGATGGGGATGGAGGCGCGCGTGGGCGAGGGGTCGTGGGTGGCGGTGGGCGTGTCGCGCAACCAGACGCGCTTCGCCATGCTGCAGAGCGACGTGACGGTGGGCGGCGTGCTGGCGGACGGCGGAGGGGTCTTTGCGCGCGACTACCACGTCACGGCCAAGCAGACGTGCCAGCAGGTCGCGGGCGGCTTCGTTGGCGTGTGCGAGGTGCGTGTGGGCGTGTGCGAGGTGCGTGTGGGCGTGTGCGAGGTGCGTGTAGGCGTGTGCGAGTGGCGGTTCATCAGCACAGCGTGTAACGTGTGCCCTCCGGTCCATAATCTCCCTTTCCATCTCGCCCCCCCCCATTCGCTCACGTTACTCCTTCATCCCTCCCTCAGCACCTTACTCTCCCCTTCCCCTTCCCCCATGCCTCCCTCCGTTTCATCCCCCCACCCTCCGCCCATCTCGCCGCAGGACGCGCTGCTGGGCTCGTCCCCCACGTCCCTCAACGACGTCACCCTCGTCTCCGCCTCGCGCCGCGCTGACGTCACCTTCATCCGCTTCACGAAGCCCGCCGCCACGGCGGACGACCGCTTCGACGCCAACCTGCTGCGCGCGCCGGGCCTCTCCGCGCTCTGGTGGGTCGTCTTCGCCGCGGGCCCGCTCGCCCCCGCGTCCACCGCCGCCGCGCCCACGCTGCTCTTCCACGACCCCGCGCTGGGCTACTTCTCTGGCGGCACGCGCATCCCCTTCGCGCCGCCCGCGCCCATCCGCACCTGCTCCCCGCTCTGGGGCACCAAGCCCGAGTACCACCCCCCGCTTCCCCCGTACGCGCCTCCGCCTCCCCCGGGCGCCTCTGCGCCGCCCCCGCCTGGCGCGGACGCGGGAGGGGGCGTGGCGGGCATGCCGGGGCTGCGCGAGTGCAGCACGGCGGTGGGCGGGCAGGTGTACGCGTTCGACGCGTGCGACGCGCTGCCCGGCGGCTTCCTGCTCATGTGGTCGCTGGCGGGCATCACGCTGCGCGCCGCGTTCGTCGCGCAGGCCGTGCCCGACGGCGGGTACGCCGCCGTGGGGCTGTCGCCGTCTGGCGCCGTCGCCAACTCGAGTCTGCTCGTCGTCTCGTACGCGCAGGCGGAGCGGGGTGCCGGGAAGGGCGCGGGCGCAGGGGCAGGCGGAGCGGAGGTGGAGGTGGGGCAGGTGGTGGTGCGTGCGGGTGCGCGGGGCGTGGGCGTGGAGGCGGTGGCGGGGGGCGATCTGACGGTGGTGAGCAGCGTGGGGCAGGCGAGGAACGGCGCGCTGACGCTGCTCTTCTCGCTGCTGCTGCTGCCCAACCAGACGGCCGCGGCGTACCTCGTGTGGACCAAGGGGCAGCGCGCGCAGCTCTCTCTGCCCGCCGCCGCGGCTGCCAACGAGACGGGGGGGGTGCTGTCGCTGGACGGGCTGGACGCGCTGATGACGTCAGCCATCAGCTTTGAACGCGGCGAGCCGAAAGACGATTCCAATGACACCATCCGGCTCTGGAAGGTGCGCTCTCCCTGTTCTGCTCGTCCCCACCCCCCCTGCTCCCCTTTCTGCATTTCATCTCCCAAACCCCCCTTGCTCCCAAATCTTCTTCTTCTTCAGCTCCCTGCACGCTCCTTGCATGCTGCTCGCCCTGCACCCCTCACCTCATGCCATCATGTCATCCCCACGTCTTACCATCCCAATCCCCACCCCCTTCCGCGTGCATCAGATCCACGGCATAATCAGCACGGTGGCGTGGGCGTTCCTCATGCCGCTGGGCGTGATGGCAGCGCGCTACCTGCGGCAGGTGTACGCGCGCTGGTTCCCCGTGCACCAGGCGCTGCACCTCGCCGCCGCCTCGCTGGCCACCGTCGCATTCACGATGGCGCTCACCATGCCGCACGGGGCTATTGAGGGGCGCGCTGACAAGGCGTCGCGGGGGACATGTGTGGTGGCGCACACGGCCATGGGCATCTCGCTCATGGTCATCGCAGCGCTGCAGGTGTGCTGGGGTGGGATGGGGTGGGGTGGGGTGTGGTGGGGTGTGGTGGGGTGGGGGTCGCATTCACCATGGCGCTCACCATGCCGCACGGCGCCATCCAGGTCCGCGCTGATGAGGCGTCCAGAGGGACGTGCGTGGTGGCGCATACAGCCATGGGCATCACGCTCATGGTCATCGCAGCGCTGCAGGTGGGCATACGCCGTGGGGTGGGGGTCACTGCCTCGCTGCTCTGCCCTGCTGTGTTGCTTCAGGGCACATGCTCACAGCCCCTCTCTGCTGCCTCCGGGCTCTCGGCATCCGCTTCCATACTTCTCCTTCTCGCCGCCTCCTCGTATCCCTCTCTCCCTCCCTCCGCGCTCATTTCCACCCTTCCCCACTCGCTCTGCGCTCACATCGCTCCGCTCTCCCCTCCCGTGCATCCCCCTCCCGACCGCAGTTGTCAGCGCTGGTGTGGCGGCCGCACGAGGACAGCAAGTGGCGCCCGTACTGGCGGCGCGTGCACGCTGTGGGAGGCGCGGTGGCGCTGCTGCTGGGGCAGGCACAGCTGCTCGTTGGCCTCTTCATCTCAGCAGCCCCCCTCTTCTACACGGTGCTGCTGGCAGCGTGGCTCATATTCGCGCTCCTCCTCACCACGGCCCTCGAGCTCCACTTCTTCCCCACCTTCTACCGCCTTGCGCACTGCTGGGACCGCCTTCTGGGCCGCGACGCTGACGTGGCGTCTGACGTGGACAGCCTCTGCGCGTCCAGTGAGAGGCTGGCGGGCGGCGCTGGTAGAAAGGGGGTGACGGTGGAGGGGGAGGGCGGCGATGGGGGGAAGGGTGCGGCAGGGGGATGGGTGGCGGTAGTGGTGGCGGTGCTGCGGCGCAGCAGGGGCGCCGGCATGCTGCCTGAACGGCCCAGGGCGCAGGGGAGGAGGGCAAACGGGGGGAAAGGTGAGGGGAGGCGAAGGGGGAGAGGAGGGGGTGCAGGAGGGGGAGCGGGGGCGAGTGAGAGGGCGGGGAGAGGGGGCAGCGTGGGAGCGGGGCGGGGCGGGTACATGAGCATGGCGGGCGCCAACGCTGCCACCGACCGCCGCTCCAAGGAGCTGCTGCCCCCTCCGGCTCCCCCGCCCCTGCCAGCCCCTGTTCTGTCGGCCCTGCCGCACTCACAAGCACCTACTCCCGCCTCTGCTGGTGGTGCTGCAGCTAGTGGTGGTGGTGGGATTGGTTCAGAGGGGGCAGGAGCGGAAGGGGGGAGAGCAAAGGGGGTGGAGGCACGGGCGGGGGCGTTTGGGCGAAGCCAGACGGTGGCAGAGGGGGGTTGCAGAGAGGGTGGCGGCGTCCAAGACCATGGCGCTGCTGCTGCTGCTGCTGCTGCTGCTGCTGCTGGTACTGCCGCTGCTGGTACAGGTGGTGGTGGTGGTAGTTCAGGGGCCAGCACGCAATCACGAGGCGTGTGGGCGGGTGGAATGGCAGCTTGGAAGGCTGAGGAGGCGGCGAGAGAGAGAAGGGGAGAGGGAGTGAGGGAGGGAGTGAGTGAGTACATTCGCACAGACAAGTACAACGTGCGGGCCACAGTAGTGAGAGCACCAGACCTGGCTCTCAGAGGGAGAGCGGCCCGGCAGGCAGGGGCAGGTGCGGTGGCAGGGGGGGCAGGCGGGGGAGCAGGAGGAGGGGCAGGGCCGGCAAGCACAGTGAGCGGGGCGGGAGGGGTGATGCAATAAGAGGAGAGCCAGGAGTGGTGCGTGCGTGCGACGGGTGACAGGCGTAGCAGGAGTGCTCTATTCCTGTGCTGCTGTAGGCCGGTGTGTGAGTATATCATGGTGTATGTAGGTAAGAGTGTGTCGCACAGCCACACGCGCTCCTGGCTCTGTCTGTTGGGATTTGAAACCAATGAAGACTCTCTCTCTCTCTCAGGGTCGTTCCTGTTGTCATCTGCTGTTCCACCCACGCTTGCACCAACAGCACACCATGCAAACTAGTACACTTATTGTTCACATTATTGCCCAGTGTGTCTAGGTGTAGCACACGTACCGTATGGTATGGATGTATCTAGTATCGGTAGTTTTGTTGGTTCACAATGCACTATAATTCTATTTCATTACAAGCTACACCTAATCTGCTGCTTTTTGCAGCAGCTATGATACTCAGCAGCAGGTACACGTATATGCCCCATCCTCCTGCCCATGTGCTGTGCCACAACTAGCAGAGTGTCCGACATGCCACACGCCACACACCGCTACACAGCGTCAGGGCTGAGAGGTTTGCAGGGAGGTGCCGACGTGATTGTAGAGGGAGTCAAAGCCGTTGAGCCAGCAGGGCAGCGAGTAGATGAGCAGCCCGAGGGCGAAGGAGGGTGCGATGGTGAGCAGCGCGTAGCAGTAGGCCTTGGCGGGCGAGCGCAGCGTGTAGTGCAGGTACAGGGCTTCTAAGGAGGGCATTGAGACCGTGCTGAGGCACGCCAGGAAGCCCAGCTGCATCGCCCCCACCGCCACCTCGCTCGTCGTGCTCTGGTACTGCCAGGGGGATGGGGGAAGGTGCGGGAGGGGAGGATGGGAAGAGCGAGGAGTGAGGGGAGTGCGTGTGGAATGTGTGAGGAGGGGTGTGGCAGTGGGTGGGGCAGCCACGTGGGCGAGGGGGGATGGAAGGAGGTGGGAGTGAGGGAGTTGAGTGGAGAGATCTGGAATGACGAGGAAGGCCAGAGGGCGCGGAACGAGGAGCAGCAGCAGCGATCACAGAGGGGCGCAGGTCAGGGGCGGCAGGGGCGCACCTTGAGGTAGAGGATGGAGATGGCGGCTTCCACTGCTGCCGCCCCCACATTCGCCATCCACGTGCCCCACGGCATCCACTCCCATGCGCCCCCGCCCTCCCCCCCTTCCGCCAGCAGCGCCTTTTCCGACCCGGGGCAGGGGGAACGGGCGCAGGGGGAAAAGGGGAGGCGGAAGGGGAAAGGCCTCCCGTTGAAGCGCAGGAGGAGGAAGCGGAGGTGGGTGCCTAGGGGGGCGAGGAGGCAGGCGCACGCGAGCATGCGCCAATGGTGCGCGGTGGGGGGGAGCAGCAGCGCGCCGAGCCCCGCCAGAAGCAGCATGCCGGCGGAGAGCAGCAGCATGGGGAGCATGTGGCGGCGGTGGTGGGGGGGATCCGTTGGCGGAGCAGGCGCGGGGAGCTTTGCGCTTGGAAGCGTACAGGGCAGAAGGGAGGAGGCGGGGGAGTGGGGAGCGCAGGCGAAGGCAAGGCGGATGGCGGTCCCCGCGTCGACGCCCGCGACGAGCGCGACGAGGGGAAGCGCGGAGCCGGTGAAGTACCCGAAGGCGGCGCGCGCCCACAGCCCCGCCGTGGCGATGGAGACCATGCGCTGGTTCCACGTGGCGAATGTTGATATGCTGCCGCACAGCCCGACGACGATGGCGATGGCGAGGTGGCGCGAGCGCGCGAGCAGCGCGGGGAGGAGCGCGACGGCGGAGAGGCCGAGGAGGAACGCGCCGAGCATGTTGGCCGGCAGGTCGACGAAGACCGTCAGCGCGTCGTCCGTCACGTGCGCCACGTTCGGGCCGAACAGCTCGTCCAATAGAAACTGAATGCACACCTGCGCGCGCGGGCGAGGGGGGAGCGGGGGGAGCGGGAGGGGGGATAAAGGGTAGGGCTGAAGAGGGTTAGAGGGGGAACGGGAGAGTTCCGCAGCGGGTGGATGCATGGTGGGAGTTGATGCGGGAGGGAGCGGTTGGGGGGAGTGCGCGCGCACGGGGGAGGATGGGGCGACACGCACCCCGACGATGGCGAACGGCGTGATGTGTGCCACGAGGCTCGCGCCATCCATCCACCGCTCCCACCGCTCCGTGCGATCGATTCCGCCCGGGGAATCCGCGCGCGCGCAGACGCACGCGTGGGGAGCGTCGAAGAATCCCACGTGGCTGGCGTAGCAGTAGTCGGACCCCGTCACCTGCCGCACGCGCGCAGCATGGGCAGCGGCGGAAGACACGGGGGCAAAGGGGGGCATGCAAGTGAGACGGGGGACACGGAGACGAGGGTTTGAAAACCCAGTGTTCGGAAAGAATGGGCTAAGCACCCCCCACCGTCTCCGCTCCTTTTCTCGCGCCTCCGTCCTACCGAGCCCTCTCTACCCCGCCTTACAACTGACCGCCTTACCTCGTCCGCGGATGTAAGCGGAAGGGCGCACTTCCGCCGACGACGACTGGCGCGGCAGATACAAGCCGCGCCGCTGCCTGTTTCCGCCTCTTGCATCACACCATCCCTCCCGGCGACGGCACCCGAGCTCGCCGACGATGCGCTGGCGCCGCAATTGGTGCTTTGCGGCGATCCCAGGTCGATCTGGCTCGCGAGCTCGGCGCGCTGCTGCCCAGTGGTACTCGCAACGGGCTCCGCGTTGCACGGCGCAGCAGCGGAGGCGTCAGTGTGCGGCCGCTGATCCGCGTGTGCGCTTCCCGTGCTGCTTCTACTAGAACGCTCAGATGCCGTGGCGCCCGTTCGACTCGACGCCCTACTCTTATCCGAACCCGCTGATGCTGCTGCGGCGCCACACGAGGACGATCCGCCGCTCCCCTGCCTCCCCGTGTCGCTGTGGTTTGCAGCTGCTGTGGAGGGGCATGCGAGCACAGCAGCATCCTGAATGCCACGTGACGGACGCGCCACGTCAGCGGCGGGCATTGGACGCGTGGGTCGCTGGCTGTCGCTCATTTTCCGGCTGAGAACCGAGGCGGAACCGCGGAGTGATTGCACGTGCCCCTATCAGGCTCAGCAGACAGCGGTGCGCGCAGTGACAGTAGCGTGCCGATTCGAGCGCTAACGGAGCCCGGCCATCGCGCGACGGTCGCTCTTACGACAACGTGCAGCAGATTACAGCAGACGATATCTCTAGTGGGGATCCGTAGTTAAATTGAACGCGCCGCTAAAAGAGAAGTCAGACTGGTGATGTACTACAGTGAATTAGGATAATATCAAGAAGTTCAACACGAGCGCCTCTAAATCATGGATGCATCTGGAGCTCAAATACTGTACGCAGTGGTGAAGGAAGTGGTAAGTCGCAAATTAACTGGGTGGAGGTTGACTTGGGGGTTAGCTGTGCCTGGACTGGGTTAGTCAAGGGAGGGAGGTATCGTGCTGGTGGAGGCATTGTAGGGGGAGGTACATGCGAGGGCCGTTTTGCAGTCAGGGGGGAAGGCGAGACACTGGTGGAGGGCAGGGGCGTTGTTTGTTACAGCACGCGCACAGCGGGGCGAGGTGGTGTGGCTGTGGCTCGCAGAGGGAGGGTCGGGCTGTGTTTGTTACAACCAATCGGGGGTAACAGGGGAATGTCGTTGGGTGGGCGGGATGGGCATGGGAGGGGAGGGGATGGTGGGTTGCGGGGGAAAGGACGGGGAGGGGGCTGCGCAGGGGCAGGTGTATGTATGTACAGAACCACGGCGCTGTTCTGGTGCGGCTGAACCTGCATCCGCGAAGCCTGTCACTCTCCTCCTCCTCCACCGAACCCCCTTATTTCCGCGCTTCTGCAGGGATTGCACATCGCACCATTGCCCCGCAGTGGAGGCTCGAGAGGGCACGAGAGGCTGGCAGCTGGGGGGTGTGGGGGAGGGAATGAGGTCGGGGGGCGGAGTGAAAGAGGACTGTTGAGAACTTCGAGGAGGCGGAGCGGAAGGATGAAGCCTCGAATGCTAGCCACGGTGGGATGGGCCGAGCGCGCTGGATTGGACCCTCCGACAGCCGCAGCAGCCAGCCAATAGAAAGAAAAGGTGACGTTTGGTCTGTAGTGATGCAGGAGGGACTCTTGGACTTAGCCGTTCAGTCAGCGTGCGCCACGTCAGCCATGTCACAAGTCCGTGGAACAGTGACACACCCACAGATGATACCTGCACTGTCAGAAACAACCTGATATCTTAAAGGATGTCATGTTTCGATACAAGTATATTTCTCCCTCAAAACCTCCAAACCAGTGGCGAACCATTTCAACCGCATCAAAGTGACAGAATGATCAGTGTAGAGAATGACACAATAAATAAGAAGCTAGTTATTATGATACACACATCAATCATAACAATTGCGCTCATTGAGGGTTAATGACCACATAGCAGTAAAAAAAATGACAGATAAGGCATCTTCATCCAGCAAAACCCCAACCAACAAAACCCCGCAAATCATCGTGTACGACGCATGAGCACCAATCGAGGACTAAGGGGGCGGTTGATGCTTCGATGCTCCCAGCACACCCAATAGTCAGCGGGCAGAGACGCTGCCATCTCCACTACAGCGTCATACTCCTCCCTTGGGCAAATTCAAAGGCATTCCGAAGCAGGGGGGGGCAATAGCTGGATGAGAAGGTTGAAGATGCGGTCTATTCCATCAATACAAGAGGATGTGCAAAACATGTGAATTGAATTCACATCGTTTTGAACCATAATCGTCTCCGCACCCCTGTCAGATCTATTGCCCGTCCCCACCCTGCACTCTCACCTGCCGCCTGGGTGGCCCACATAGGCCATGACACTGACCACGCCGCCCACAGCTGTGGCTGCCGCTGCTCCCTGCAGCGCTGCCACCGTGCTGCCCGGCTGCGTCGTGATGCCCTCAGGAGCAGCGGTAGGAAAGGTTACGGTGTTGGGAGGAGCGTGGTGGGCCCGAGGCAGGTAACCAAGGTTGAACGCCACCAATCTGGGGTGGTACAGGTGAGAGATGGAAGGGGTGCAGAGGAGGGGGAGGGGGAAGTGTGTTGAATGGAAGAATGGAAGACCTGAGGAGGGTGATGAACGAACGGAGGAATTGTAATGTGGGAGATTCTGCATGCGGGTGACACATCATTGATCACACATGGCATGGTGTATGGCTGAGACAGACGTGGTACGAGATTCAGCATGTCGTGCGAGAACGTGTGGCCATGAGAGGTACCGTGCCGAGCCAGGGGCGACGTGTTGGAGCAGCGTGGAGTGGCAGGCGCACACCGATTGTACATGAGCCATCTGCCGCATGGGAAGGTGAGGAGCGGGGAGGGAGAGGAGAAGAAGAGGCAGGTCAACTTTTGGTAGCACGAATGGCCGAAACACTCATGCATGAGCACCACACATGCACATGTGCAGCCAGTCACATGCGCACAGATGAAATCGTGCTGCCGTGCGCCTCTCACCTGCGTCTCTGACAGGCCAGCTGCCAGCAGGCGATGCGTTCTGCTGACGGCCTCCTCCTGTATGTCCATGGCCACCACTCGCCCCCTCACCTCCTCCCCTGCGCTCCCTGCCTCGCCTGCACGGCACAACCCAACCCATGCCCCCACCCATCCACCATCCACATGTAGCCATGGACGCGCACACAGGGGTTTGGCATCTGTCAGGGCAGGGCAGGGCAGCGCACTGATTGCAAGCAGTGCGAGGCGAGGCCTCACCATGGCTGGGTGGCGCGGGGGCGAGGGCGAGGGCAGCCATGGCCATGGTGTCGTGCCCGTTGCCGCACGTCGCGTCCACCACCGTGTCGCCGCGCCGCACCACGCCTCTCCACAGCCTGACCCGCTCGCACAAAAGGACGGCAGGCGGAAGGAGAGCGGATAGAATGTGGGTGGGCGGAGGATGAATGCCGGAACACGGAAGCACGGGGGTTGGGGAGGGGGAGGGGGAGGGGGAGGGGGAGGGGGAGGGGGAGGGGGAGGGGGAGGGGGAGGGGGAGAGGGAGGGGTAGGGGGAGGGGGAGGGGGGGGGAGAAGGGGGAAGGGGAGAGCGCGCCTACTGGTGAGCGACGGCGGTGAGTTTCCGGCCACGGAGCAGGGACTCAGCCAGGTCGGGCTCTCTGGGCTCCGCTCGCGACGACGCCCCTGGTGCCGCCATTTCCTGCGCCGATTGGCATGAGAACGAATGTCGTCGTTGCGAGACGCCAGCCGTCGTGAATATTGATGTCGCCGTCTCAATTCTCGTTGACAGCTCGCTAGAATTGGGCCGTCTCTGCCTGTCGCCGCACACCTTTCCTGAGGGCGTGTTTAAATGAAGCACGTCCTTCGTGAAATTCCATGAAATCCCTATCGCTAGAGACCTATTTGCACCTAGAGGGGTTCTTAATGAAGAAAGCATGTTGGTTGGGCGTGCCGCAAGTGGCGCTGATGGATTCATGTCGAGGAAACGGGGCTCATGTGAGCGAACGCCAAGATTTTGGGGAGTGCTGATTCAACATTGGGTGAGCCGAAATTTCTACATTGTGGTTGTGGAGTACATTTTGTAGTGCTTTTTTTAGTTGCGCTATTTTCTCAAACAAAACAAGCAAATCTCGCCCAGTGGACGGCCTGGATCATTCCGGAGGATCCTTCGATGTTGTCACTGGCGCGGTTCTGACGACAATCCCCAAGATGCCGCAAGGAATCCACTCTGCAGCACACATCCAGGCGATTCCGCCTGACACATTTCTGACGACAGCACCGCGCAAAACCGAGAAGGATTTTGGTGCCTCTTGACTGGAATGCCGCTGGCACGCCATATGTGGGATGAGCCTGGAGAATCCAAGGCCACCTGAATTCGGCTGAACATCGAATTTGAGGACCAAATCTCCCAGAGTTCTATCATTCTTATCAGCATCCTTACATCATTCTCCATCTCCGGATCCTTCTCCTCAGCATCTCTCGCATTCGCTGCCTTTATCCGCTTTCCACGCTGCATCTCGTTGTCGCCGGGTGCATCGTCCTCCTAGCGTACGTCGCAGCCATGGCCACCACCACTGCGCCGTCGGTGCAGCAAACGATCGACCGTCTGAGACTGGAGACGGCGACGCTTGATGAGATTAGGTCAGTCCGTGGACTGCACGTGAAGCGGTTTGATTTCTCTGGACACCGGGTAGCAATCATCAGTTTGCTCGTGGGCCAGGCTATCAGCTTACTTATTCACCATCTTCTTGCCCAATCGCAGCGCCCAAGAACGGAGCGGCTTCCTGTCTCTTTTCGAACGCTACTTGCAGTAAGTACTAGAACCGATGGGGGCTAGTAATCCTTGAGCTATCTCATCGCTTTCAGGAAGCCTTGTTCCTCCACATCTGACGCGTGGCGGTGGGTGTGCAGGGAGAAAGCGAATGTGATCCAGTGGGACAAGATCAAGTCGCCCACTGACCAGGAGGTCGTGCCGTACGATGACCTTCCTGAGGTTCCCCAAGGTAACCGCTTCGAGCGCTCTCTCTTAGCGAGCACTCAGGCCTGTCTTCGTGCGTTCCTGGTTTCTGATTCTCCAGTTGAAAGCATGTGTGGTGACACGGTGTGACGGCTGTTTCTGCTGCTGGTGCGGGTGGTGCGGGTGGTGCGGGTGGCAGATCCAGCGGTGGTGAAGGAGCTGCTGAGCAAGCTGGCGGTGATGAAGCTCAACGGCGGGCTGGGCACCACCATGGGGTGCACGGGACCCAAGTCAGTCACGCTCACCCCTCCACCCTCTCAACCTCCGCGCCTGTCGCTTCCTGCTCCTCCTTTATGTCTACCTACCGTGCTCGGTGCTAACGGTTCTCTTTTCGGGATTTCAGGTCTGTGATTGAGGTTCGGAACGGTCAGACATTCCTGGACTTAATCTTGAAGCAAATCGAGGTACGTCTGTTCCTCGGAAGGCCAATCCAAGCTTGTCACCCCAGTTGCGATCGCGCGCGGACCTGTCGCTGACGGTGCTTTCGTTCTCCTGGCAGACGTTGAACGGCAAGTACGGGTCGAGCGTGCCGCTGGTGCTCATGGACTCGTTCAACACGCACGACGACACTCTCAAGGTGCGCTCCTTCGCCCTCCGTGCCGCTCGTTCCGCTCCTACTCGCTTCTTATAGATTCATGACGCTTTGTGGACTCGTGTGTCGGCCTTTCTGACGGCGAACCGTGTGCGTGGCGGCAGATTCTCGAGAAGTACACGGATTCGGCGGTGAAGATCAAATACTTCAACCAGGTCACACCTCCTCTCTGGCGTCTCCGCAAATATGGCTTTCTCCGCTTACCTCCTGTTTCTCGTCCCCTGTCACTGCAACCGTGTGTCTATTTTGCACAAATTTCCGCCATCATTCCCTTTTCGTCCATTCGAACGTTCTCATCGAGTTGCGCGTCTGCTGTGGCGCTCACGCGCGTCGCCCTTGTCATTCTACGTCATGCTGTCTGCACTCACCACTCGCCCTCCCTCGTGCACGCCCGCGTGTGCTGTGTGCGTGTGCTGTGTGCGTGTGTGTGCGTGGATGAGAGCAGAGCCAGTACCCGCGGGTGGTGGCGGACGACAACACGCCGTGGCCTGCCAAGGGCCGCAAGGACAAGGCCGCTTGGTCAGTCCGCCCGTACCTCTGCCTCCCGTCTTCCCTCCCCCCTACCCACGACCCTTATCCCCCCCACCCCCTCCCCCCTCTCCGCTTTCCTGCCTCCTTTCCGTTACAGTCCCCCTCCTCGTTTTCCCCGCCTCATTCGTTCCTCGCTTTGGTCTAGCCGTCCTTTTCTGTAGATTTGTTGGATCACAGGCGTTCCCTGCTTCGGTGCGTGTGTGTGTCGGTCCCTGCGCGCGGCACTGCAGGTACCCTCCCGGGCACGGCGACGTGTTCCCCGCGCTCTGCAACAGCGGCGTGCTGGACCAGCTGCTCGCCGAGGTACGCCCTTCCGCCAGAATACTAGCGGAATGGCGTGGCGGAATGGCGGAGAGATGTAGACGCGTGGCGGAGCGAATGTAGACGCGTGACGGAGTCTGGAAAAGGGCAAAGAGAGTATTATCGCGTAGGCGCCGAGGGTACTAGTGCAGAGGATAGGGGAACACCAAGTGCACGCATGTGCGAGCATGGCATGGATAGCAGATGGGTGTGCATGCATTGAGCATGTGTGTGTGTGGCGTGCGTGCATGGCATGGCAGGGCATCGAGTACGTGTTCCTGGCGAACGCGGACAACCTTGGCGCCACGGTGGATCTGCGCATTCTCAACTTCATTGTACAGAACAACAACGAGTACTGCCTCGAAGTGAGTGCTACTCAATAGCGAGTATGCGTTGCAAGTGCTGCCACTTTGGAATTGTATAAATTATCTATGCATCCTGTTGCATCTCTGTGCCTCCCTTTTGTTCCCATCCCGACCCACTCCCTTCCCTTCTACTCCCATCCCATCCCACTCCCTTCCACTCCCATCCCATCCCACTCCCTTCCCTTCCCACTCCCATTCATTCCCTCTCCCATTCCTCGTTCCCATCCCTTCCTCCCTGCCCCCTGCCCGCCCACCCGCCCGCCCGCCCACCCCAATTGCGTGTCTTTGTGGGTGCGTTGCAGGTGACGCCAAAGACGTTGGCGGATGTGAAGGGCGGCACCATCATCAACTACGATGGCAAGCTGCAGGTGCCCACCCCCTCTACCCCCTCGCTGCACCACCCCCTCGCTGCACCACCCCCTTGCTGCACTCTGCTCTACTCTCCTCCTGGCTGCTCTCCCTTCCTCCACTACGCTCTCCTCTTTCACTGCCTTACCCATCTTCTGTATTTCCATCAACATGCTTCATGCAGCCGTGTCTTCTCGTTATGTCTTTGATGCCTTATCTCGCCTATCCTCTCTGCTCCTTCGCGCTTCCCGTGCAGCTATTGGAAATCGCCCAAGTGGCGCCTGAGCATGTGAGTGACAGCAGAGTGTGGGTGACAGCAGTGTGTCAGTGGGAGCAGAGTGGAAGTGCCAGCAGAGTGTGAGTGACACCAGAGAGTGTGGGTGACAGCGGAGTGTGTGGGAGCTGTGCCGTCAAGCGTTTTGAGCGTGTATTGCTGCCGCCATGCAAGGCTCTCGTCCACGGGCGCAGGGCTTGGGGCTGCATCATCAACACCTCTTTTCCTCTCCATGCCTGCTGCTGTTGCTGCTATGGGGTGCTGTGGGGTGTTGTGGGGTGGTGCTGGGTGGTGTGCGGTGGTGCAGGTATCGGAGTTCAAGTCCATTGAGAAGTTCAAGATCTTCAACACCAATAACATGTGCGTCCGCCATGCCATGCCGTGCCATGCCATGCCATGCCGTGCCACCATGCCACGCCGTGCCATGTCATGCCACCATTGAACACTCCAACAACACACCACCGTCGCTGCAAGTAGACTGTGCCAGCATGCAACGAACCAAGCAACTGTGTGTGTGCTTGGGTGCGTGCGAGCAGATGGCTGAACCTGGCGGCCATCAAGAGGCTGGTGGAGTCGGACGCCCTCAAGCTCGACATCATCCCCAACCCCAAGGTGCAAACCGCTGCTCCCTCTCCCCCTATCCTTCCCACGTCCCTGCTCCCTCTCCCCCTATCCTTCCCACGTCCCTGCTCCCTCTCCCCCTATCCTTCCCACGTCCCTGCTCCCTCTCCCCCTATCCTTCCCACGTCCCTGCTCCCTCTCCCCCTATCCTTCCCACGTCCCTGCTCCCTCTCCCCCTATCCTTCCCACGTCCCTGCTCCCTCTCCCCCTATCCTTCCCACGTCCCTTCTCCCTCTCCCCCTATCCTTCCCACGTCCCTGCTCCCTCTCCCCCTATCCTTCCCACGTCCCTGCTCCCTCTCCCCCTATCCTTCCCACGTCCCTGCTCCCTCTCCCCCTATCCTTCCCACGTCCCTGCTCCCTCTCCCCCTATCCTTCCCACGTCCCTGCTCCCTCTCCCCCTATCCTTCCCACGTCCCTGCTCCCTCTCCCCCTATCCTTCCCACGTCCCTGCTCCCTCTCCCCCTATCCTTCCCACGTCCCTGCTCCCTCTCCCCCTATCCTTCCCACGTCCCTGCTCCCTCTCCCCCTATCCTTCCCACGTCCCTGCTCCCTCTCCCCCTATCCTTCCCACGTCCCTGCTCCCTCTCCCCCTATCCTTCCCACGTCCCTGCTCCCTCTCCCCCTATCCTTCCCACGTCCCTGCTCCCTCTCCCCCTATCCTTCCCACGTCCCTGCTCCCTCTCCCCCTATCCTTCCCACGTCCCTGCTCCCTCTCCCCCTATCCTTCCCACGTCCCTGCTCCCTCTCCCCCTATCCTTCCCACGTCCCTGCTCCCTCTCCCCCTATCCTTCCCACGTCCCTGCTCCCTCTCCCCCTATCCTTCCCACGTCCCTGCTCCCTCTCCCCCTATCCTTCCCACGTCCCTGCTCCCTCTCCCCCTATCCTTCCCACGTCCCTGCTCCCTCTCCCCCTATCCTTCCCACGTCCCTGCCCCTCTCCCCCTATCCTTCCCACGTCCCTGCCCCTCTCCCCCTATCCTTCCCACGTCCCTGCCCCTCTCCCCCTATCCTTCCCACGTCCCTGCCCCTCTCCCCCTATCCTTCCCACGTCCCTGCCCCTCTCCCCCTATCCTTCCCACGTCCCTGCCCCTCTCCCCCTATCCTTCCCACGTCCCTGCCCCTCTCCCCCTATCCTTCCCACGTCCCTGCCCCTCTCCCCCTATCCTTCCCACGTCCCTGCCCCTCTCCCCCTATCCTTCCCACGTCCCTGCCCCTCTCCCCCTCTCCTTCCCACGTCCCTGCCCCTCTCCCCCTATCCTTCCCACGTCCCTGCCCCTCTCCCCCTATCCTTCCCACGTCCCTGCCCCTCTCCCCCTATCCTTCCCACGTCCCTGCCCCTCTCCCCCTATCCTTCCCACGTCCCTGCCCCTCTCCCCCGCCTCACTTCCATTCCCCCATCTGTCGCTCTCCATCCTCTCCCATCCCGTCTTCGCCATTGCTCTCCTGCCATTCCTACCACTCCCGGATAACATCTCCGTCACGCCTGTGCGTGCATGCCTGCACTCTTTCCGTGTGCATGTGTGCATGCTGCATGCGTCCACGCTCCATGTGTGCATGCTGCATGCGTCCACGCTCCATGTGTGCATGTGTCTTTCCATGTGTGCATGTGTCTTTCCATGTGCGAGCAGGAGGTGGAGGGGGTGAAGGTGCTGCAGCTCGAGACGGCTGCCGGTGCCGCCATGAAGGTCAGCCCTGCTGCACTCCAACCATGCCTCCCTGCATTGCCATCGCTCATTCTCTCTTCTTCCACCCGTCTCCATCGTCCCTGTTCCCTCGCCTCTCCATGCCTCACTACCTCACTCTTCTTCCACCACCCCCTCCATCCCCTCCGCCCCCCATTCGTTCCCCCTCTCCCTCCCCCCACCTGTTCAGTTCTTTGACCGGGCCATCGGGGTGAACGTGCCTCGCTCGCGCTTCCTGCCCGTCAAGGCCACCTCCGACCTCCTGCTTGTCCAGGTGCCTCCATGCTTCTTCTCCGCCGCCCTTTCCTCTCCCCTCCAATTGTCATTCCAAGAGTTGCCTTGCTGACGCGCACCCACCCACTCTCCCCCTCGGCCGCACACCATGTGCCTGCAGTGCACCTTTTCCACCCCACGTTCTCTGCCTCTTCTCACCACAAATTGTCGCGCGCATTAACCTCCTCGCACCCCTGGTTTCCACCTCTCAACCTGTAACCCTACTCCTTTCCATGACTCGCCTCCTCTCTCCCCCCCCCGCGTGTGCCGGCAGTCGGATCTGTACACGGTGGAGGATGGGCTCGTCACGCGCAACCCCGCCAGAACCGCTGCCGCTAACCCCACCATTGACCTGGGGCCCGAGTTCAAAAAGGTGTGTGTGCCATGCCCCTTCATGTGCGCCACTGGCAGAGCTGTGCTGCCAGTGTCTTACGATTTTCCGTGTGCTGCATGCATGCCATGATCCATCTGTATTTCTATGCTGCTACGCGAGCCTCACATCGGTCATGGATTGCCCACTGCTGTTGCATGCTGCTGTGGCGAGCAGGTGGCGGATTTCCAAAAGAGGTTCAAGGCCATCCCCAGCATCATACAGCTGGACAGCCTCAAGGTGTCGGGCGACGTGAGCTTCGGAGAGAATGTCACTCTCAAGGTCCGTGCCTCCCCCCCGCTCTCGCTCACCCCCTCTGTCTGGAATGACCTCTGTAAAATTGGTGCCCTTTTCCCACTTCCCTCCACTCCACCACCTCCTCTCATCCATCCTAATCTGCCATCCACCGTGTATCCATCCTCGTGTGCGGTGCATGCAGGGCAAGGTGGCGATAGAGGCGCCCAAGGATGACAAGATTGTGGTGGCTGATGGCACTGTGCTGGAGGGATAGGCGTGCAGGGAAGGTGCCATTTACACAAGCTGACGTGGAGCCAGCAGCAAGGTGTCCTGCTTCCATATCAGCATTATACGAGATGCAGGCGCAGTGTTTTAAATTTGTGGTCTTAGCCAGTTGAAGATCACTTGTGGAGTCATATTTTTTAAGTGATAATGGAGATTGTTGTTGCTGGATGAAATAAGCCAGGGATAGAAGCAGCAGAACTAAATGGCTATATGGATATTGTGCAGCCCGTTTGGCATGAGACACTGCTGCAGGCTTTCTGGAGAAGCAGCTAAGTATCACTCGTTGAAAAGGGGTGACTAATGAGCCCTGTGTGGGGCATGAGCATTGCATTGCAGCATAGCTCCGTGCTTGCAGGGAGGCAGAGGGTCACGAGGAGGGCAACAGCTTGTAGGGGTTGAGGATGCCGTTGGGGTCAAAGAGCGCCTTCACCCTCTTCATCACTGCCACCTGCATGCCATGCACACGACACACAGGGTGGGTTAATGCGAGAGGCTACGATGTACAGCCCAGGCAGGGAGGTGTTGGAGATGAGCTGGATGGAAGCAGCAACAGAGAGAAGATGAGCTGAGTACCAGGTGAATGTGCAATTGCCCCGATAATTGCATGTGCACGCTGAATGGCTGCCTGATTGCGCTGCCGCATGGTATGCTACCAGCATACTATGCGAGCACTCCAGAGGCAGAGCTTGGGAGAGCTGGGCAGAGAGACAGCAACGCACCGCTTGGGGGTCCTTGCTATAGTGGATGGCGTTGGCCTTCATGAGCCCAAGGCCGTGCTCCGCACTCACACTGCCCTGCCGCCCCGCCACCCACTCGTACACGAATGGCTCTATCCGCTCCAACAACTGCCAGGGAAGGGTGGTGCACATGCCAGCACGCACACATGGGAGAGCACCCATGCTCAATGGAGGTGGGATGTGGAAGGATGGGAAGGAGAGATGCGCGCATAAGAGGACCAAACACATGGGGTACGGCCGCGCTCTTGGGCGCGTCCAGTGGCCTTGCTGGGGTGCCATTCTCAGCACTCGAGTTGCTGTCTCATTTACATCACATACCCGGGCGGGACAGTGGAGAATAATGGAGGAATGACAGCAAGAGCATAGAGGAGCACTCACTTTGTCGTCATACGAGGGAGCGGAGATGTTGAGGTGCAGATTGCCATCGCCCAGATGCCCATACCCCACCACCTGCGCTGCACTGCCCTCTGTGCCCCGCCAACATGGACAGGCACAGGGAAGGAAGACAGGTGAGAGAGGGACCATGAAAATCAGAGAGGCAGAAACGTGCAGGAAGGGCGACAACGTGACAAGTTGACTCGGAGAAGAACCTACCAGGCTATCCCCCTCACCTAGGCGGGAGCGCATCTCATCAACGAGGCCGTACAGCTGTGAGACGGGCACTGACAGGTCGTACTTGTACACTGCGCCTGCTCGCTGTAGCGCCTCCGCCACTCCCTGATCGTAACACATAGGGAAAGGAGACAGAATGGCACGCAGGAAGGAAGGAATGAAAGAGCTACTTCTTGCAGTGCTACTCACGCGTGCACAGTCGCCTGACATCTCTTATGCGCACCTCGCACAGGTCCCAGAGAGCGGCGGCCTGGGTGGAGTCATGAGCCACGGTGCCGTCCTCCACAGTGCCCTCCAGGAACACGTTGGCAGGTGCCATCTCACCGCTTCTCACCGCATCTCACCACATCTCAGCGCATCTCACCTCGCGCAGGTGCCAGATGGCAGCGGCCTGAGTAGAATCGTGAGCCACGGTGCCGTCCTCCACGGCGCCATCCTCCATCACGCCCTCCAGAAACGCGTCCAGCTTCACCCTGGCGGCCGCTCACACGGGTGTGGGGCGTGTGTCCGGGGGGGAAGGAGGGTGGTTGGGAGGGTGTGGTTTGTTGGAAGGCATGCTGCGTGGTGCCAGGGAGCCGAACATCTGTTCATGGAATGTCAGAGACGAATTTGGGCCTTCGTATGCATGTCGCACGCACTGACTGGTAGGTATTGCTCTGCTGAGTGCGCATGTGTGCCAGACCCACCAGTCGTGGTGCACTGCTGTGTGCGAATATATGCATGTGCTGCACCCACCGGTCGTGGTCAGGGTTGCTGCCAGACGTTTCAATGAGGACGTAGAAGGGATACTCCCCGTCCGGTAGCGGGTCCCTCGTGCCCTCGTTGTGCTTCAGCACCTGCTCACACCGCATGACACACACGCAGGAGAGCACGGGCGTGGCAGGGAGGGGTGAGGGTGATCACATCTAAATTCATGGGATTTTTGCTGTCCTCATATTTTCATATCACATGCAAGCTCACTCACCTTGTTAATCAGGTTCACATGGGAATCAACATTAGAGGCGTTACCATCTGCAGGGAGCTGCGGTCGAAGAACTCAGCGGCAGATAGCACCTCCCCCAGGTGGCGCCTGCTGGCGCAGAACACCTGCTGCACAGCGTCGAATGATGAGCACCCCAGCAGCGCCACGTGCACTGAGGGCGAGCGCGGGGGCGCCAGCAGCACCACCCTTGTCACCACGCCCAGCGTGCCCTCCGCCCCTGGTGGCCGGGACATGTGGAAGGGGCGTGTGGGGGGGACGTGGGGTTGAGAACGTGTTGTGTGCACTGTGGTGCAGCACAAGCAGATCACACCGTCACCATGCCGTGCGATTACGTGTGACCACATGCCACTCCACATGACAAGCCACGACATGGCCTCAGACGCCATCACACTAATTAGCCCATCCCCAGCTGTACCGATGAAGAGCTGCTTGAGGTCGTAGCCAGTGTTGTCCTTCCTGAGCGCCCTCGTCATGTCCACCACCGTGCCATCCGCCATCACCACCTCCAGCCCTGCACGTGTCGTGCTCCCATGGGCCATGGGAGGGACAGGCGGAGAGAGGAGGGACAGGTGGGGAGAGAAAGGGCAGATGAAGTAGGGATGAGCAGAAAATGGATGGACACGGTTCGGTGGCATTACGGGCAGATTGAATGAGCTCAACGCTCCACGATCCACAGAGTGTGGGCAAGTAGGCTCGCCGAGCATAGAGGTGCGCAAAGGCACGAGGACAGTGAGCAGAGCATTCAAGCGAGCAGAGAAGCGAGCAGAGAAACGAGCAGAGAAACGAGCAGAGAAACGAGCAGAGAAACGAGCAGAGAAACGAGCAGAGAAACGAGCAGAGAAGCGAGCAGAGAAACGAGCAGAGAAACGAGCAGAGAAACGAGCAGAGAAACGAGCAGAGAAGCGAGCAGAGAAACTAGCAGAGAAACGAGCAGAGAAACGAGCAGAGAAACGAGCAGAGAAACGAGCAGGCAGGGTGACTGACCGAGCACGGAGCCGTGCAGGGAGCCGTATCGGAGGAGCCGGATGCCACCCGCGTTGGTGGAGACATTGCCGCCTATCTGACAGCTGCCCTTGGCGCCCAGATCCAATGGCATCACGAACCTTGCAGGGCGGAGGGATGGTCACAGGGCTGGTCATGCGGTGAGGCGCACGTGGGAGAGACACTTGTGGGGTGTGTGCGGCCACGCTCGTGTATGCACGCTCGTGTGTGCTTGCTTGTGTGTGCATGCTTGTGTGCGGGTTCACACACAGATGGCTCACCCCTTGTCAGCCAGGAAGGTGTCGAGGGACTCAAGGATGCACCCCGCCTCGCACTCCAGGATGCCGCTCACCTGATAGCGCGCCCCACACAGGCCCCAGCAGAGTGAGGGGCAGGGTGGTGGTGGGGGGATTGGTTGGGGGAAGCACTGAGAGAGAGCAGGCGCGCCCCACACAGGCCCCAGCAGAGTGAGGGGCAGGGTGGTGGTGGGGGGATTGGTTGGGGGAAGCACTGAGAGAGAGCAGGCACTGGCGTGTGTGAGTAGTGAAGTGATAATGCACGGAGGGAAGGTTAGCTGCATATCTTGCACGGAGGGAAGGTTAGCTGCATATCTTGCACGGCTTGTGGTTGGTTTCAATGAGAAAGTTTCAGTTGATGAGCGAGGGATTGGGCATAGCGGCGTGTGATAGCCATGGCGCGTTGCAGCATGGGAAGGGCAACAGAGAGCAAGAGGCGTACCTCATCGAACGAGATGACCTTGTTCATTCCTGCCAGGCTCAGAATAATCTGTCCGGCCATGCCATACAATGCGAAGCCGTGCCACGCCGCGTCATGTCATGCCATACCATGCCATGCCATCATGATCACCATGCCATGCCATCATGATCACCATGCCGCACACGCAGCAGGCGGGTGGGACAGGAGCAGCAGTAAGAAGGGGAAAGAGGCAACTGCCCCCTGTGCCTCTGTTCAATAGCCTCCTCACCCTTACTAGATCCACCTGTGCCCTTGACATTGCAAATTACTGCCTTCTATGCCGATTCATAGTGACTGAGTGAGAGTGCACTGAGTGAGACTTCTATGACTGACATTGACAGTCAAGCGTACAGCAACACCCCATGGCAACCGCACTCACCTCATCGAACACAGGCACACTGCCGCCCACCAGCCCCGTGTTGCCGCCCTGAGGCACCACCGCCAACCGCCTCTCATTGCAATACTTCAGAACGTCCGCCACGTGGCTTGTTGTGGTTGGCCGCAGCAACAGCTTGCTATTCCCCTTGTACTTGCCCATCCAGTCCACGTTGGCTGCTGCCACGGCGTCAGGGTCCGTGATTACGCCACGTTCGCCTAGAATTCCCTTGAAATATTCCACGTCAGCATCTTCCAACGTGGCAAATTGCGGGTCTCTGGAAACGGCCACCGTGGCGTACCCTGCCTGTGCTGTGGCGCCAGAGGGGAGGGACTCAGGACCGGGAGACAGAAGCGCGCTCAACCCAACCCGTGCGGAGGCAAGTGCGGGGGCGCTGGTAGCGGTGGCTGAGGGGGTTCGGTGGAGTGGGAGGCCAGCGGACATTGCGCGGAGTAATTGCATATTCGGCGGAGCAGGCGCGGAGAGTGATGGGGGTGGATGGAGCGCGGAGCTGGGCGAGGCACGGGGAAGAAGGCCAGCTTGGC